TAGATTATGATAATAACTCTACGTACTCCACGGTCCATTTCCGGAACACGTGGAAACTTCAGCTAGTAGCTGTCAGTAGCGTGGAAGCTTCCACGCGCTAAATATCTAGAGCGATGTTCATCGACAACTAGTATGACTACAGTCATGAGAACCTGTCTCAATGACTATTCGCGAAGGACTACGTCATGAGTCGAACTCAAACCCTATCTAGGATCGAGTCGCGAATAAGGCTAAGAGCCGTGTATTGCATTCGCCCCCTGACAAGGGTCACAGAAGGCACGACATCAGTCGGACAAGAGAACTTATGAATTAAAGTGCGGGGCACTCTCCCGAGATTTGGATGTAGACATTGCGTCGCACGATGGCAATCCTACAAGGGATCCGGCCTTGTATGGGTGTAAATACTTATGTTCCAAGTCTGTAACTGTGCCCTGGCGGTATAGCATGTCGAGCCGTACATGCCATTTTTATTGACTCGTCTTTGTAAGGACCTTTGTACTTTGGCTGACCGTGCTTGCGTGCTGATACTGTTGAAACCTCCAGTATCGTTGACATTGTATTGATGAGGGACACGCGTTTCGTTTTCCTTATCAGTGTGTTTTGTTGTATGAGTCGTTGGCGACGTTCTTTGATGTGTTTCCAGTTTACTTCGAACCGGACGTTGTGATCGCGTCACGATTGAACACGTGTGGTAATGAACTTGCGACGAAGTCCATATCCCCCGGAGGTCTTCTCGACCTTCTGTGCGGAACTCACGTTCTCTATCCATGATAACCTCAGACAGGCCATGTGATACTGGTGAGCCACGTGTTCTAGAACGATGGCTACTTCGTCTGCTGCATTGGAGCAGATCTCGGCATCTCGAACCATTCGGTTACGGGATCAATCATTGTCAAGCAATGAAATGGACAGGGATTCCTTTTCTTGGATCCTCGACGTTGTATGTACATGTGATCGTCTGATCCATATGTCTCGATAGTAGTTCACTAGTCCAATGAATCTACAAGTTCTTCCTGTTCGTAGGAGGAGCGATATCTGGATCGCATCTATTTTCTGGTTACGGGTTGGATTCCTTCTCAAGTAATCCATAGCCTAAGATACTAAGTTCTCTTCTTCGAAAAAGGACTTGAGAAGCATTGATCTTAAGTCCGGCTCTCGAAGCCTTTAGGAGAATTCATCTAACTATTCAACGTAATCCACTAGATCGCCGTTAGTTAGGATGAGTTGATCATCATTATGCACGGACATTTCCAAGTCGTGCATGAGTGTTCCCATCTCCTTTGGAAGATGTCGGGAAATTGCATAGGCCATCGGTACTCGCTGGTACTCGTATTTCCTGAATCTGTCTAGATTCAGTAGCATGTCTTGTATCCTTGGGATCGGACAAGGTTTTTGCTCAATCCTTTTGTTCAGTTCCCGGACAGTCAGAGATGAACCGTAAGATCCATTCTTTTTGGGAATGATAAATGTTGGTGACGTCCACTCGGAACGGTTCGATGAATTCCAGGTAGGAACTCAGCTGGTAGGTGCACAAGAGCTGGGATGGAGAGCTCTGTTGGTGGAGATCTCCTTCCACTGGCGCTGGAAGGGCCAGCCCAAGGCTGGCAGCCAATGCTATTCAATCACTGTGGAAGCAATGATATGAACAGTCTAATTGCTCAATACCCTGGCACTGGCCATACAGATCCTGTCTACTGCAGAGCTCTACTTGTGCTGTTGGGTCTGTATCTGGTCAACTACTTCTTCATTACTTCTTTAAACTATAATATAAACACAAACTCTGATTTTGCGTGAAACTCCATCCTCCAGCCATGCAGGATACAGATCCATGCATCTCTTTTGGCTGGTATTGACCAAGCTATCTTTCTAGATAGGTCATGGCTGAAGGACTGCATCATCCTTCCTTCGAGGAACTCTATTTCCTCTACAGCTGTTCCTATCTTGTCTGATGGTGACACAGCTCATTGTACTGAAAGAGTGTACAGATGCAGCAGCGATCTTTCCACCAGACTAGCCAGCACAGCTGCGCCGCCACCATAATATGGCTCCTATGGATAATCTCATCGCTCCCCCACCATTGGAGTCATGGATGGGTGCCAACAAGCTTGCACATCATGGGGCTTCCCTCGATACTTCCATGAACTGGAGCATCTGACTGCTCAGTGTGGACTTTGGTCGCATACTCAGGGGTTACCAACCCTCTTGAATACATCAAGGTGTCCATTGCTGAGTACCACTTGACACATTGGGAGGGGCATCACATGGGCTTGTGATCGAACCTCCAGTCGTGTTCAGGAGAGAAAGGGTGCATTGGCATTGGTCCATTTGACCGTCAATTGGGATCTCATCTGGTCTCCCATACTTGCATCACAGCTCATTGGCTTAGGAGGTATCTGTCTATCTCCCCATAAGGGCCAGTGAGAACAATCTGGGCCATAACTGTTCATCTGGAGCCCTCAACTGGGTAGTTAGGTGACGGCTTGTCATCCTATGAGGTGGGATGGTTGTCCTATCATCAGATATTGCCTCAGTAAAGGCAACACCTCTAGACGTCTCCTCAAGTTTACCATCTCCTTACATGGGTTAAAAGAATCCCGTCCAGAGACACGACTAACTTGGTGCTTGCTTGGGTATGACCGGTGCAGTCCTGTCACATGACATGGCAGTGGCTCATCCCATAGCCATCAGCTTGGTGGGTGTTGCTCTAGCCCGACTGCTTCACCTTTGCTGAGGGTGACACAGTGTAAGTTCTCCCCATCACCCGAAAGTGAAGGAGTGCCATCAGGGCGGGAGGGTGGGAGTCACCAAAACATGTTTTCACAAAACGTTGTACTTGGAATACTATCCTGGAGATGACAAGTTTAGCACAAACACTTGTCATACTGGGCCATGTCCTGCGGAAGGTAGCCCCTATGAGGGTGGCATGCTACCCCGCAGCCATGGCCGGTGCCTGGGTACCTTGGGCTCAACCAGTGCGACACAAACACTAGTTGCCCACGCAAAAATCCGTCTTGGACTTATTCCTTGAGGGCTGCAGTCACCACATTGCCATCTGGAGGATCTAGGCGTCCCCGACTGCTGGGTCAGCTTCACTCTCGACCACCAGTCGACATCTGGGTTTGACGGTGGGCTCCATCAGGACTCTCTTGTCAGCGCGAGAGACTGTACCAAATCTGGCGTCCTTGCTGGATAGCTGAGACCAGACGTATCAGGAAGGCGTGGAACTTTACACTGCTCCCCATCACCCTGATGTCTCGTCTGCCAATGTCGGTATGTTGGCTAGACGTGAGTCCTCATCTCTTCGGTTGATGTACAAAGAATGTGGCAGCATTCAGTAGCACCTCCTTGTACCCGTCGTATGTAAACGATGCATGATGTCCCTCGCGACATATTCTCTCATGTTCACGTGCAGAAATGTCGTTCCGATATCACACTTCGAGGCCTCCCGCGGGAGACCAACTTCAATGAGCTTCACAACGATCTCTCTCATGGATTAGTTTTCGTAGCTTTCTAATCTCTCTCGTAACTTTCATTCTCTCAAACTCAAAACACTCGAAAGATCTTTACACTAGCTTTTAGCGTAGTGCAACGGTTAAAAGAGCCAGCCGAGCTTGTATATTTTGCGCCTCGCATTTCTTTTGCTTGCCCCTTCGGTGCTTGCAAAACGGATTTATCGTACTGTAATATTTTCGATATCCTCCTCCATACGGTAGCCATAGGCCCTTCCTTCACCGTAAGGCCTGTATCTATTCAGATACTGTATGATGCAGAGTGTGTTCCACAGGTCCGCATTAAATAAGACTGGGCCAATACAAAGGTCGGCAATGGGGCTTCCGGGTCCCCTGGGGAACCCGGATGTGCAAAATCGTGTTTGAGTCGTTCCTTTAAATTTAACATTTCAGCTATCCATACATGTAGATGTTGTATTGATCTGACGTCTGGAAGTTAACGTCGGAAGCAGTCTAAACTAACGACAAATCCGGCGACGATCCGATCCAACGGCATTTCGCACTCGGGATAGACTTTTTTTCAGTCCCGCCATCCGTGACTGACCAAATCTGGAAGTCACGATTTCGTTTTTGTGTTTCCGACATGCACAAAAAGCGTCCACGATAGCCAATAGAGTCGACCATGAGCCAAGAAAACACCCCCGACGGCTCCTCTACGCCCACTGTGGAGCCCACTAGATTGTTCAGAAGCCCTGTGGTTAAGCCTAGTTCAAAGAAGGCCCATGAGTTGGAAGAAATGCAGGAATGCAACCTCGAAAAGCTAGTTGAATACGTCCGTGCCGCAATTGAGAAACCATTCTGTTTTGACCTTATCAACAAACCTGGACGCAGAACAACTTGCACATGTCTACAGGATCTCGGAGAACAGATTGACGATGAAGAGGTAGGTCTAGAGGCCTGTGCCAAGTCGCTGTTCCTATTCTGCAAGCTGGATTATGCTGAAAGAAAGCGAATGGTCAAGGAATGGATTCGCTCTGGCTTGGCGGCACAGCTGATGTTTCAAGGAATGCAGAGGGAAACTACAACCCGAGTGTTCCTTCTACCTGGTTCAACAACAAGATTGATTTGCAGGAATGCGCTGTGCCAGTTCATTGGCTATGGACAGAAGTCTTGGAAGGGTGTTGTCAAGTTGGTGAAATCAGGGGACGATCCTGTTCATGGCTTAAAGAACAAAGTCGGCAACAAACTTAACAGCAAGTCGATGGATCTCTTCCATGTTTTCTTCACTTCAATGAAAGAACACGCCCTTCCCCGTGCAACCAAGATTGTCAGGACAGAAATGGTGGATGGTGTTAACACTTTGGTTGAGCTTAGGGAAGAAGAGAAAGACATTGTGGAATTGCATCGTCCATGACCAAGCGTGGGCTGTACAACCGGTTCATAGCAAACCAAGGATGGAAGATCAAATGGGACAACAAAGGCCGTCTGTTGAAAAAGACAGAGATTCCGGACACAGAACAGAAAGTCACGGCTTCTCAGTTGCCATCGTGGAGTTCTTTTCGTCGCTTTTGGAAGTCGGAATATCCCAAGCTGGTTATTCAAAGACCAAGCGCTGATATCTGCGATCAATGCTACGTCTTTGCCAACAAACAGTACTTAAGCGAACTACAGTCAAGCGAACTAAACAGGAACAACAAAAAGGGGCAAGCACCAGGAAGAAGAGGAGGACGAATCTGAAGACGAAATGTTTGAGAAAGCATTGACCATGGTTGATCCCTATGCCCACATCCATGATCGATTTGAGGCCATCAAAGCAATGGAGGACACCGTGTTGTGCTCTTCAATGCATGTGGAGATGGCGCGACAACAGAGAACTCTGTTCAACTTGAAGAAAGAATAATCTGTCCATGACATGGATAAACCATGGGATCAGCGAGTGTACACCTTTGTTTGTGACTATGCACAGAATATTGACGTGCCACACTTTGGACAGGAGCAGCCAGGCGAGACGTACTACCTATCCCCATTGTGGGCCTACGTATTCGGTGTTGTCGATTGCTCTTTGTCTCACCTTTATGCCTACACTTACCTTGAAGGAGAAGGTCACAAGGGCGGCAACAATGTGGCAAGTCTTTTGACCTATCTCTTGATCCAGGAAGATCTTGTGCAAGAAGGCCTTATCAGATCCTCTCATCACAACAAGCCGGTGCCAGAGATCAACTTCTTCTTCGATAACTGTCCAGGGCAGAACAAAAACAGAATGGTGATTCGCTTGTTGTTGGTATTGGTCAACAGAGGCATCTGTCTAAAGGCCCGTGCAACGTTCCTTGTTAAAGGCCACACAAAGAATGACTGCGACCGCATGTTCAACCTGATGAAAAAGGAATACAGAAAGGTGAGGGTGTGTCATGGTTTGTGTTCGCATGAAAACCTGAAGTTACCAATCGTCTCATCTACACTCCTCTCGTGTGCTTGTTGGTAGGCCAATGTATTCACACCGGAAGAACTCATCGCATGCATGCGGCATGAGGATGTCTCTCCTATTTGCGTGAAGGCAGAACGGGACTTCTATGACTGGGATAAATACCTCAATACGTACTGGGCTCCAGTGAAGAGAGTGTTGGAGAACCACTGCTTCGAGGCTGATGCGACAAGGAGCATGCATCATATCTTTGTGAAGCCTTTTGATGGAGCAAGGGAGGAAGCACAGCTGCTTACAAGGTTGAAGTTGCGTCCGTCGAATTGGAGAAAGGCAGAAAAAGAAGGAAACTTGGATGCCTTCAAGACTCCCATTAACTTGGAAGGCAAACCGGAGAACCTTATGCCACCAGGTATTCCAGACATCAAGTGGCAAGAGCTGTACGACAAGTGGAGGCCGTTGGTTCCTCCTCAGAAGAGAACATTAAAGTGGTTCAAGGAGGATCCTGGACAGGAGCGACGCGACAAGGAACTCGAAGAAGGCAAAAGCAGCTAGATCGCAACGCACTGCTACTAAGGTATCTGCTGTGGAATCAGCTAGCATGGCAACATCAGCAACAAGGAAGACTAGTAGCTAGTTAACAGGTTATGCTAGATTGGCAATATAATGTAAGTTAACGACCATGACATGCTATTGTTGCCTCGGACGGTGTGTTTCAAGTGTGTCTAATTTCTTTTGCGTTTATCTCGACTTCGGTATCCCGCGGAAAACCGACGACGGACAGAAAAATGACCTCCCATCTTATTGGCCCAGTCTTAAATGGATTGTTCGTGGAGATTATGGTGAGGAGTTGTCTGATTTTCTTGCCAAGCCCCTCTCCACTGTCTATGACAAGGAAATCCTTGATATGGACAACGAAGAAGACGTCAGTCGATGGAATCAAAGGACAACACAACGCACCAAACTCTTCCTTCCCAACCTGCCATGCTTTGAACTCTCTGGTATCAAAGAGAATTCGGAGATGTTTTCCGCTGTGCTGGACATGTTCTGTGAGGTGTTGTTTGCTAGTAATACTGCAGCTTATTGGGGAGTAATTTGGTTTTAGATTAAGCTGAAAAGCAAAAGTGAGGATTTTCTGGTGGTGCATAGCAATTCTTGTGATTGAATTGGATACAAGGACCCCCGTAACACTTTAGACCTAAAACTCCCTCGGTTCCTTGCATGATGAATTTGCATGCGAACCGGACTAGATGATTTTAAAATACACGAGTCAATAGTAAAGAGGTGCCAGGTATATTTCCTCCAACACACTCCTGCACGGTGCCCTAAGTGGCTACCGTGGAACGAATAAAATAAATTAGGCAATCAAACAAGGGGTGGATGCCCCATGATGAAAGCCCTGTGCTCGTGGAAGGAGCTTGCCCTGAAGGGGCTTCGTGAAGAAATCTCCACGCATTTCCAAGGTTGGGCAGTACACAACTCTAAGGTTGCCTTTTCCAATCTGGTCATGAATAAAAAGAAACGAATGTTGATAGCCCGATTCTTTTGCCCAACTGCCTTTGCCATTCTCTGGAAGAATGATCGTGCTTTTGTTGCCCTGCATGAGGATGTTGTCCTTCACAACGATCCCCTGCTCTTCAAGGAACAACTTTGCCCACAACATGGGCGACATGACATCGTCAGCTCCAATCAATTCCGCTTCCGTGCTGCTCCTCGAATTCAATTCTGTTTCGCAGACACAGACAGCACCGCGCCACTTCCAAAGGACATGACTCCTCCTGTATGGGAACGGTAATCAGGATGGACTGCAAATGATGCATCCACCACCAAGTGATGATGCGTATGTCATACATGTGTAGGATCAACTTTCCTGCGCCGTCGATCCAAAAACTTGAGGCCTTGGACCACTTGCCAAATCATCCAGATGTTGGGCTTCTGACACGTGTGCATAACACAGTAGGAGAGTCTGCACATCTGGTCGAGCACGCTTGCACAGGAACAACTGCTTGGCTGCAAAGGTATGATAGGTTTCCCTGTTCTTGTCATTCAGGATGGTGCCATCCCAGAGCTGAAAGGTCAGCAGGAGCTGCACTGGTTATTTTATCTCTATGACGA